ATCATTGACAGCTGGTCTGCGTTCGCCGCTCGCGTTTCTAGGTCCGCCGCCATGAACGCCCATTCACAGGAAATCGTAGCGACCCGAGCCTGCCATATAGCGATCTGCATCAGGGAAGCCAACCAGACTTCAGAGCCTTACGGCTGCTGGGTCGAGGGCGGAGTCACATCTCACGTTCAAATCCCCGTCCGGCATCAGATATGTGGGTGCCTTGCGGCTCGCTAAGCCCAGGAGCCCGCGCTGCCCGCGTCCCCCCTGACGCGGGATCGGTTCAGCAAAGACGACGTGAAATCCAAGTCTGATGAACATCGGATCAAACCCCCTGAGAGCTGCGCCTGGTGTCGAAAGAGTATACTGCGGCTGCAAAACTGGCTTTATTACCGGAGTAGTGCCCCGGAGGGAACCCTACGTGAGTGCCTACATACACATAGGGGGAGGATATTCTGCCAGCAGCTCCCGCTATTCTGCCACCAAGTGTAGCTACGGCCGCTACACGACCGCCGGTCTCGGGCACATACGTAAGCTAGGCTCTATATAATTAGTATTTAAATAGATTAAATTAATTAGAGGCCGTTAATTAACTTATAATTAATTAAATTATTTTAGTAAAAAATATAATAATTAACGAATTAGCTTAATTTAATATAATTAACGAAGTAGCCTAATTAACTACTTAATTAACTACTTAATTAACTACCTAATTAACTATTAATTACTCCGTATAGCTTATAGCTTATAATTTAGTAACTTTTTCTACTTTAGCCTCGTACTCTATTTTAGCCTTATACTTATTAATAAGTCTATTTATTTTACTTTTTATTATAAAATTAATATTATAAATATAATTTTTATTAACTAAATTTTATAGTACGTTTAATTACGTAAGATTACTAGTTAATTAAGATCGCAACTTTATAAATATTAATAACTAAGGAGCCCCTATAAAATTAATCGTATTATTATTAACTACGTTAATTACCTTATTAATAATAGCCCGCTAATACTTCCGTTATATTTTTATACTAAGCTCGTATATATTAGAATCGTATATAATCTCAAGGCCTTGTTAAATAAAAATAGCCCTACTTAGTACTAGAGGTACCGTTAATAATAGTAGCGCTAATACGAGTATTATTTTTACGTATTTAATAGCTTTTTTATATTTAAATATAAAGGGCTCTTATTTAAAAAAAGTACTTTAATTAATAATTAGCTTTTTTAATTTACTTATTATAACTACTATAATACCTATTATAAAGCCCTATAAATAACCTTTACTTCGGACTTATAGGGGATTAAATAAGGGGATAAAAGTACTATTATTAATAATAAGCTCTAAGCGTTACTAAAACTAATATAAATAGATCTTTTTTAATAATATTAAAATACTATTTTTAATATATTATTAAAAAACGTAGTAATAAAGTAGCCTATAAGTAGTTTAAATTAAGTAATATACGTACTTTTTTAATAACTTTTTTAATAAACTTAAATTTAGCTATTTATTTAGTATACTAAGTTCTTATAAAAGTCGTTTAAAAATATTATAGTATATATACGGACGCACTTTTTTTTAAAATAATTTTATAATAATACTTAATACTTTAGCTTAGTAACGGGTCCGGTAAGCGCTAATTATAACTACTTAATTTATTTAAAAAATAACTAATTTATTAAATACGGCTTTAAAATTACTTATATAGTAATAGACTCGTATTTTAATACTTATATATAAGGATTTAATAATTAATATAATTAAGTAACCGAAGTACTTAATTTAGTTAACTTAAGTAAATACGAGTTTTTTATATTACGGCTTAAACTAAGTATTAATAATATAATTAACTATTATTATAGGGTACTTAGTAATTTAAAATTCGAATAATTAATTATAATATATAGTTATTAATTAGTTACGGAGGAGATTATTTTAATCCGTAAGGAATTATTAAAAATAAGGGTTATATATAACTACGCTAGTCTCGTCCCTCGTAACTAAGCTAAAATAATACTAAGTCCGGGTTAGTATATTAAAATTAATATACTAATAATAAAGTACGTATAGTACTACTTTAAATTAGGTATTATTATTAAGAGTATTAAATAAAGTAATCTCGTAATCCGTATACGTAATTTATAAAAAGGGAATTTTATAAGCCCGGAGTAATATTAATAACTAGTTAATAACCTAATTATAATTAGCTTCTTTCTTATTAAATAAAAAATAGCTTATAACTTAAAAAACATAACTATTATTAATTACTTTATAAATATTAAATAACGGTATATTAAATCGGTTAGTTTTATATATAAAATTTATTAATAAAATATTTAGATATTATTAAAATAGAAAAATTATAGTAGTAAGTATAATAAATAAGCTCGTAATATAGCCCGCGTCGTTATATTAAAAACAGTACTAGTACTTTATTAAATTATATAATTAATTAAATAATTACTTAATAAGGGTCCTATTACCTAATTCGTTACGGTAGTAAATAGCTAATATATTAAATATATTATAGGTAACGATATTACTATAATTACTATTTTCTAACCATAAGCTTAAAAAGATTTAAATAGGTTAAATACCCTTATTTTATTAATTAATAATTTAATCCTTCTTATTACGTAGTAATATATAGTAATAATATATAAAAGCGTTAGTATTACTAAATAAGTAGTTATAATAGTTATAGAAGTTATTAATAATAAAATAAAAGAGCTAATTATTACTTAAAAAACTAATAACGATTTATTAATAATAGTTTATAAACGAGGTTAAGGATTTATAATACTTATTTAAGTAAGTTAATTTTATAAAGCGTTACTATTTTTAATTATAACGCGGGTTATAAGTATAATAATAAGTAATAGTAATTAGTACTTTAATAGAGGGCTTATATTAAATAATTCGAACTATAAAACTAGCTTTATAAATAGCTTTATTAAGTACTACTCTAGCTTTAAATAAGCTAGAAAAGTACTAGTTATAAAATAAGTAGTTATACTCTATATAATTATAATTATTATAATTAACGGTATATTAATAAATAAAGGGATCGTTAACTTTATAATTATTCTCTTTTTATAGTATATTAACGTTAAGAATAGTTTTAATTAACGGTAGTAGCGACGGCGAGGTTAATGAAGTAGTAGTTATAGGTAGGTAGGTAGGTGGGTAGGTAGGTAGGTAGGTGGGTGGGTAGGTAGGTAAGTGGGTGGGTATGGGCAGCTGGGCTCCGTGGTCGGAGGTAGGGCCTGCCGCAGCCACACTTGGTGGCAGAATAGCAGGAGCTGCTGGCAGAATATCCTCGCCCTACACATAACAGCGCAATGCCCTTGTCGCTCGCATGAACAGCAGGTTTGAGCCATTTTGAGTTCCTCGGTCATCCGAGTCTCACACGCCTGCTCCTGGGATGACCTTGCAAGCACTTCAGACCGAGGGGTGCCGTGCCTCCGCCGGGCTTCCCCTGTGGCCTGTGCCCCCCCTTGAACGCCAGAGGGCTTTTTTGATGACGACAAGTTGTCCAACTCCAGTCTCCCGCCTTGCAGACGCACAAAGTTGGGACGACATAAGGGGTCTGATGTGCCATGGTCGCACTGCGTACCACTCTGCCATCCGTCGACCTTTGACTATTGAAAGCTTACATTCGCGAGGAGGAGTGTTGGATCGTGAGACGACATCGACTGGAACCTATTCAAAGATGTGGTACAGCACACGAGAATCGCCGACGCTATTCCAAAGTACTTCCCACGCTGTCAGGTACTCCGCACTCAATGAGTCGATTCTAATGAGACAAGTGGCCGTTTGATTGAGGAGCGACATCCGCGGGCTTGGCACGAAAAAGGACGCATTGCAGCGGACCAACGACAAAGGCCTTGTTCCTGTTGGTCCAAGTCTAGCCCGCCCTCGAATGGTTCGCATCGCAGCACGCAGGTTACGTTTTTGCGGGAACCCGCATTGCGGAAAATATAGATTAACATTAAAATGACTTTTGGGGCAGCCTTTGTGGAAGGATGGAGCAGAGACGCGACGGTTTGTTTCACACCGGCAGGATTTTTAAGATGAGATTCGATCCGTCCCCATTCCACATCATGGTGAGCTCCCTCGGTCACACACTCACACTACAGTTCATTGATCTCTCTGGCGCTGCTTACCTACTCTGCCGGTCGATTGATTTGATTAACGAGGTGACTGGTCAGTTGATGTCCGGGAAGCTCGGGGCGATTCGGTCGAAGGCCGGGCGATATGAGGAGTTTTTCCCCTACGAGGTTATGGGTTTTGGGAGCAGTGAAGCGGGTGAACGGGTTGCCAAGCACACCAGGCCGATTTGATCTCCGACGCCGTTACATTTCCACCTTACCGGCTAACAACCCTGGTTCCGTCACAGTCTGGCCCGGTGGCCGTGTCTTCGCATTCTTGTTTTTTTGGTTCGCCATTGTCGATGAAGGTTTCGCATCGAGGACTTGACTGCAGAGAGTCTCTGTTCCAGTACGACCTGGATCCGAACCAATTCACGAACTAGGGTTCAGATCAACATCTCTTTTGCTGTCTTGATTTTTGTTTGTAGGACTCGGGACGGGAGACAATTTGAGCCAAAATGCTCTTCAGGCTCCACTCTTGAAGAGACTTTTGCGATCACGTGCTTCGCTGCGGGAGTGTCGTCAGAGGCGATAAGGCCCGGCCTGGGCTTATCGGGCGGCCAACCATCCGATGAGGACCCCGACAGAAACGGAGCTTAACTGTATGCAGGAGGCAGATTAGAAATCCTCGTCGGCCACAATGCGAAAGTCGGAGAGATAGCGGGGGAGAGATAGGGAAAATCAATTGACTTCATAAACGACCGGCAATTGGTATTGTCTATCCTGTTCTTAGAGCGATTTCAACGCTTTGGCAAAAGGGGGGAAAGACAGCAGAAGTCTCGCCAGTAATTTCCATCAGGTTCACAAAGCACAGCAGCAGCATTAGTTTCGGCCGTTACTTCGTTTCCGCAAAGATGACCGGCTCCGTCAATGGCACCTCCGTTCCGACGGAGACGTCGCCGCTACTGCGCAACTCCGACTCGGAGGCGGCCAATGGCAACGGCAACGGCACCGTCAACACCGGCGGTCAGCAGAACGGCGCTACGGCCGCGGCCGCCGACACTGACGCCGGTGAAAATCGGGACGGCAACCCGGAGATGGCCAAGAAGATGCACTTTCTTCTTCCGGCCGTCGGTATCGGCGTAGGTTCCACTCCAGCCCGGGTCCCTTCCTCGGCGCAAGGCCTCCGGCAGCGGCTCAGGTCGACCGCTCAGAACTCGGCAGGGACTAACTGGTGTTTTTCTAGATCTATCTCTGCGCTGTCGACCAGCTGCTCACCGTGGCGACGTACGCCAAGATTGGGAGCGAGCTTCATGCGCTGAATTATACGAGCTGGCTCGCAACGTCGTGAGTAACACGCCCTCCCTCACCCTCAGAGAAACTCATCTCATCCGGCTTCATGCCCGATGTAAGACAACGAAGAGCGAAGTACTAACATGATGCCCACAGCTACTACATCACCCTAACCAGCTTCCAACCCCTCTACGGCAAACTCAGCGACATCTTCGGCCGCAAAGAGTGCCTCCTCTTTGCTTACACAGTCTTCGCCCTCGGCTCTCTGGGCTGCGGCCTAGCACAGTCCTTCACCCAGCTCTGCGTCGCCCGCGCCATAGCCGGCATTGGCGGCGGCGGCATGAACAGCGTTGTCGCCATCCTCCTCAGCGACATCGTCCCGCTCCGCGACCGCGGCGTCTGGCAAGGGTACCTCAACATCATCTTCGCCGCCGGCACCTCCACCGGCGCGCCCCTCGGCGGCCTCCTCGCAGACTCGGTCGGCTGGCGCTGGTCCTTCACGGGCCAGGTGCCGCTCTGCGTACTCGCGTTCTTGGCGGTGTACTTTGTCCTCGACGTGCCCAGGACGGACCACGCGCACTGGCGCGAAAAGGTGAAGCGCATCGACTTCCTCGGCGCCGCTACCCTCGTCGCCGCCGTCGTGGCCCTGCTCGTGGGCCTGGATTCGGGCTCTAACAACGGGTGGTCGAGCAAGCTTACCGTCGCCGCGCTCGCCGCCACGCCCGTCCTGTTCTCCGTCTTTGTGTACGTCGAGATGCGCGTCGCGTCGCACCCCTTTGCGCCGGGCCACATCATCTTTGACCGCTCGCTGTTCGCGTGCTACCTCGCAAACTTCTTCGGCATAGCGGGCCACATCGCCTCCATCTTCTTCATCCCGCTCTTCTTCCAGGCCGTGCAGGGCGCCTCGGCCACCCTCGCGGGCGCGGCGCTCGTGCCGGCCATGATCACCTCCGTCACGGCGAGCGTCAGCTCGGGCTACTTTATGAAGCGCAAGGGCCGGTACTACACCCTCACGGTGCTCGCCTACGGTCTCATGGTCGTCGCGGTAGCTCCCACGGTCGCGGCGCTGTACTTCCGCTCCTCGGCGGGCGTGGTGGGCGGCATGGCGCTGCTCGCGCTCGGCGGCGGCGCGGGCATCACGACGACGCTGGTGGCGCTGCTGGCCAACGCCGCGTCCCGGGATTCCGCGGTGGTGGTGGCGTGCTCGTACCTGTTCCGGAGCCTGGGGTCGAGCATCGGGATCAGTGTGTGCTCGTCTGTGCTGCAGCAGGTGCTGCGGACGCAGCTGGCGGCGCGGCTGCGGGACGGGGACGAGGCGAGGCGCGTTGAGGAGCGGGTTCGGGAGAGTTTGGATTATATTCGGGAGCTGCCGCCTGCTGTTGCCGGGGAGGTGAGGGCGAGTTATCAGGTTGCGACGTTGGGGGCCATGGTGCCTATGGCGGCGTTGCTTGTGCTTGCTTTTCTGAGTACGTTTTTTATCAAGGAGAAGGCTTTGGGGAAGAAGTAGAGTGTGTGAGGGAGAGGAGTTGGGAGAGAGGATTTTTCTCTCTTGGGGTGGAAGGTTCACTGCGAGGTGTAGATCTGCGATCTGGTGTCATCTATACACTCATGAGGTAGATTCTGTTGTGATGCAAACTTTACGGAGAGGTAAGAGGTTTGCTGTATACTTACCGACTGGACATATCTCCTCTGCGCAACGTAATGAATGGGTCGGCTTGGAAGCGTGTTCATATCCTGTATATAAATACCTCATGCAGAGGTCTCGAACCCAAGACCTGATCTCTTAAAGTGACAAATTGCCACGCACTTCAGCGTAAAGAACAGAGCTTGCAGGCCAACACCTGTGGCTTGAAGCCGGCGCTGAGGGACAGGTGAGAACGGTGTCACGGAGAGAGAATACAGAGTATGTTTTCATGCCATGGTTTGTGTGTGGAATTTGCAGCTGTGCCTTTTTCCTCTACCTCTCTAGCTGACTTGTACGGCTTTTGTATCTGTATAATATGAATACCGGGCCGGGTAAGGTGGCTGGGTAGTCATTGTGTAGGAGGAATCTGCTGGGAGACTCATTTGTGCCGTATATAAGCCCCATTCAGAGGTATCTCGGATTCAATTCTGGAAAGACAACCCCCGCGGGCTTTCGGGTTGGTCCGTGAGCACGTGCTTCTTGACGGGTGAGAAGCAGACGGACGATGATGTCGCTGGTTTCTAGCCAAATCGCTAGTAGACTGGCTGGAGCGACGAGCCAGTAGAAAAATGGTAAGGTTCTAAAGCTCTATATATCCTGCTCTTCTCATACCAATGCCCGTATATATTGTATTCTCATTTGAATATCCTCTGAGTGAGAGAGAGGAGGACAGAGAATGGTCATGTTACTGTATAGATCTTAAAGTCTATAAACTCCCTAAGAAGAAGTCTGTCTGCCAAAAGAGATGCCATCGCTAAAAGCATAGACTTCCAAAAAGAGATATCTCCAGCCTAGGCTCTTGGAGATTCTTTGAGCGGATGAGTCTGCTGCTTAATTCCAAGGGTTCTTAGACGCGCCCAGTTCGTGTTACTAAGTCGGTTGATCGATAGCTTAGGTTTGAGTGCTTCGTTTTCGGCATAGACTAAGTAGTGTAAGCACCCAATTTCCGATACCACTAAGGTAATCAGCGCGGCAAGGATTAGTTCTTGGTGAGTCTGTTGAAGAGGTTCATAAGAAAGCTAGGCTTCTTTTCACTGAAGCAGATACGCAGCGCCTTCTCAGTAGAGAAAGGGCGAAAGAGAGCGGTAATTCCCTCATACTCGTCGTCTCTAGATACTAGTGCTTGGGTTTGTATCACAAACAAATATATAAAGAACTTAAAGAAATGTAAAAGCTGCTGCAACCTAGACTCAGAAACAGGTGGGCAAGATATATTTTGCAGCTGTGCTCAGGAGTCAGGTGTTCAAATCAATCCTGGACGACTGAGGTAGAGAGCAGATTGCCTCGTCCAATTAGAGAATAGAGCAGAGGAGAAAGGGGCGACATAAGACACTTGTCAGCAAGAATGCCGGGGTATTCAAACCGAAGCAGAGACTGCCCTGCGCCTCAGGTAGACAGGCACATTTCTAGTATGCAATTGATGCGGCGGCGTATTTCTAGGGCCCAAGGAAAGTGTAAGGTCTAGGTAGGCATAGGTCAACGACATTGACTATAATAGTGTCCGGATGTTCGTCCTTCCTCGTGACCAGCCGTTGCAGTGGCAGAAGAAGGGAGAGAGTGTAACTTGTACATTTCAATTCATCTCGTCGTGCTCTTGTGAGAATTATAAAGGGACCCACCAGCCCGTCTTCGCTGCCCCCATCTTCAACTGCTACTTCTTCAACTCCGTGCCCCCAGTATACAGGAACACGAACCAGAAGACGAGGATCAGAACGGATACTATTATAAAACATCAGGGAGGTGCTCATTTTCTCGCCAGGTCCTCTGAAATTCATGGTCTCTGAAGTTATACCTTGATGAACAACCGCGAGGAACTCCCACGGGTCCAGGCAGTGTGGTAGTCAGACCAATGCGGTCATCGAAAAGAGAACTCTGTGTACACGCGCACACGGACCATTGAGGCGCCAAGCGCGTCTCTGCAAGTCTTTCTTGTTCGTATTATTGATGAAGCGGGCACCTCAACCCTCCCATTCCGGCTCTATTACGCCGACCCTCATTTCTCACCAAGGATGGAGAAGGAAATAGTAAGCAAGAGGTGCGTGAATCATCAGAAGAGCAATGGCACCGGACAACAGGGCAAAAGAGGAACGCGTAGCTTAACACCCCTGATTTTTTCTCCGTTAGATGTCCTATTTTCAAGATCCGGAGTAGAAAGAAAACATTCCGTGTAAGTCTCGAATGTCCGTTAGAATGACTGCCTTTGACCGGCATAGAACGGAGACGCGTGATACGGGGGTCGGTCGTATCGTCTCCAAAACAAATCAGAAAAGAAAATCTCACCCCGAGGACTAAATCTCTCAGTTCACATGCTGTGATTCGAACTCGTAGCCCGTCATCGAGTAGGCTGTCTGTGTATTCATGTGATTGTTCCTTGTTGTTGGAGCTTTGCTCACGCCATCACCCAATCAGTCAGACAGGCGCCTTCCGGCTGGCAACAGGAACATGGCTGAGGGGATCTAGACGACTTGGACTTCTTTCTAATCATAAGGCAGGAATTGGATTTCCTTCTCACATACCTTACTCGGCCCGAGAGTTTGGGTAGGCAGGCTCGGTGAGGTCCTGAAGGGGAAGACCTGTACCGTTTTCTCATCTTCCCCCACGTCAGCAATGCATGACTGGAGAAGAAGTTCATATCCTCAGCCCTACATAGATCTTCATCGGCGGGGTGAGGTCATGTGGCGTCCTATTACCAAGGTAGACGTAGGCAGATGCGACTTTCATGCGGGATGCAAGAAACGAAGGCAAAAACGCAAAGGCACTGCTCGCCACCAACCCCCCCACGTGCTTGGGAAATGAGGAGAGGACTGAGAATGGTACCAAATCACGATACATTCGATTACTCGTTGATGGGGCGTTGATGGGAATATATGTCTTTTTTGCATTTGCTTGGCCCCTTCTCCTTCGTGGGAGAGGAGAACCGTCGAGCTATCTACCCACAGTTGTGCGTCACGGCGGTTGAAAAACTGTACCCGCCGATCCGCCTGGCAAAGTTTCCCTCCCAAAGTCTCTCGTCTCGTTCCTTTGTATCGTGAAATCATAAAGTCTGACGTGAATGGATATCAAAAGTTCGAGGCCCAGCGAACAGATAGCAAATCCTGAAAAAGGGGTGGTGGGAAAGAGTTCCGGGGGCAACCCAAGACGAGGTAAACTGGGCATGGACGCCAGGTCTCTGAAGCTCGCGATCAAGCCAGCGATTGTCGGTACAGTCCTTTTTTTTTCCTTCGTAATTTCCATCCCTTTGAGAGATGTGCCGTTCGTTGAGTCTCTGTCTATCTGGAACGAGCAATGGCTATTCTTTTTATTTCGCAATCGTCCTCCACATCATCAGATCTATCCACCGTCTCTCCTCACCGTGGTTCTTTGGTGTTTACAAGAACGAACGGCGGGGGAAGCTGACGCCCTCAACGGCGGCGTTATCGACGAACCAGCTGACGCGGTCGCCGGCGCCCTCGTTGACTAGGGCGCAGGGAAGTCCATCGCCGTGCTCAAAAATCCTCTTCATGATCTCCTTCTTACCGCCGCCAGTGGCGACAAAGGCAATCTTGACGCCGTGGTTCACGACGGGAAGAGTGAGAGTGATGCGCTTGGGCGGGGGCTTGGGGGAGTCCTCGATGGGAGCAACCCAGGCAGTCGTCTCGCGCAGCAGTTCGTGACCGGGGAACAGACTGCAGGTGTGTCCGTCGGGACCGGAGCCGAGGAGCAACAAGTCGAAGATGGGGAGACGCACGCTGTCGCGGCTGGCAAAGCTGGTGACGAGGGTCTTTTCGTACTGATCGGCCAGCTCCTGAGTGTCGTTCAGGTAGGTGGTGTCGATGGGATGGACGGTCGGGGCACCGAGGTCCTCGGGGATCTTGTCGAGCAGCTGGCTCTTGAGGAGAGCATAGTTGGAGTCCTCGTGGTCGAGGGGAACGGCGCGCTCGTCGGCGAAGAAGATTTCCCACTTTCCAAAGTGAACCTGGTCTTCGGGGCCGGTGGAGGGTGTGAGCAGTGCCTGGGCCAAAGTCTTTGGCAGCGAGCCGCCAGAGACGGCGACCTTGAAGGCACCGTGACGATTCAGACCTGCATTTTGTGCTTGGATGACGTAGGATCGCAGGGCGGGCGCGAGTTCGTCAACCGACGGGTAGGCGAAGAGGTTTGGCTGTTTGTTGCTCATGGTGGGGTAAAGTAAGCTGGAGGTAGGTTGGTGGAAGGCGGAAGGCGGGGGGCGGAGAAGTGTGATGTCGGAAGCGAGGTTGACGTTGCGAAGGGGGGCGAAGAGGAGGATGTGAAGGAAAACGGTCTGCTGTCGGTGCAGAATGAGGGGCGGTCCGAAATTGGAGAAGGTGCGCACAAACTCCGGCTTCTTGCTGCGGGATGTACTGCGTTTTGCTGGGCAGGGCGAATATGCTTGCGTGTTCCGTGTGGTTGGTTGAAAGTTGGAGGTTCAGACGAAGATGGAAGCTTTGAGAGAGCCGTCTGTCAGTCTGCACACGGGAGGGACGTAATAAGGACCGAGGAGATAAATAGCGTCGGTCTAAGAATCAAGCGGCGGGATGGGTCATGGATGTTTCCAGATGTTAAGGGCCAAAAAACCACAAAAGATGGGTAGACCCAAAACCGATAGCGGGGCAGATGATTGAATATTTTGTACGGAGTATCTGTGTCACCTTTTTTTTTTTAATCGGGGCAGAAAGTGCAGCTCACACAGTGAGGCCAGGTACGTATTCATACACCTTACGTTTGGCACAGATTGGAAGTCGAAAGACGCAAAGAGCACCTCACCTCAGTTCAGCAGCTTGGGCAGGCTGCAGTTGAGCAATTTGAGTGTGGCTCGACCCAATTATTCTCTGCCGGCTGTGCTCTGGAGCTGCAATCCAAACGATTTGTTTGGCTCAAAGGTCAATGAGTAGCCAGTGCTTGGTGCTTGATGGTTGGTGGTAATAGTCTCATGTGAGATAGCGTAGGACGAGGGCGGGCGGATGTATACGGGCTGCAGGTAAATTTGCACCGTTTCACCATGGATTCGTGATCGATAACGGCGGGCAAAAGGCAAGTCAGGCCTTGATCAGAGCACTTGCTGCGGCACCTCACTATACTCTATTCCCTATTCTTTACCTCAGGTACGCAAGTGCGTGTACTGTGTAAAATGGCGGGGTTGCCATGTTTCCAGTGGACCGGCTGTGAGGTGGTAATCTGTATCTCGAATGCCTTTTCCTAGCTTCATTGTTGACCTGCCGTAGAGTCCGGACTTTTAATAAGGATATTTTGAAAGCCTTGAGCTGTTGACTCGCCAGATAACGTCGGTGGTGGCAGTCGTTACTATCCATGATATGCTTTTGAATGCCACAAAGCTGGATGCAATCAGCAGAGTCAGACTGAGTGATGATGAATGATTTGTCCGCAAAGCTAACTGTAGTTGTCGTTGGTCCGTTAGTGCTTCCGTAAGGTACACATTGATGATTTGCCGAAGCAGTTGCGCTGCCCTCAAGGGTCAAGGGACCATTGCAGTTCCGGGAATGGACACTCATTGTCCGGCATGGCGCTGATGCAGCACTACTGTTGTAGATCGAGTCGGCGTGTCGGGTGGCTGGTGGCTGGAGGATTTAGGGCGATGAGATGGCTGGAAGTAGAACAAGTTTGGCGGGATGATTTTGTGGCGAACCAAGTCGTGAACCCACTGCAGTGAGAGCGCAGCTGGTAGATCCAGCCAAGGAAGGACGACCATGACGGCTCACGGCCCCTGACCGAGCTGCCCGGCGGTCGGGAAGCAGCGCCGCTGCCTCAGAGCTAGAGCATGGAAGCATCTGAAATTGATTGCTCGGGTGCATTTTTGTATGCATCCCGTGGGGTCCATGGGTTTCGATAAGAAACGGCAAAGTTGAAGCGCAACGGAAGGATGAGCGGAAAGAGGGATTTAGCCTAAGCACCAAGCACAGAAGGTGGAAGGATCCTTCCTGCCTTCCTACCTTTCCGCATTGCTGGTCTCAGCGTTCCTGCCGAATCTAATGTGAACTGAGGTAATAGCAGGCTTCCGTTCTCAGCTAAGGTACCTAGGGCAGCACTTGCCCGGAGTGAAGCACCGACTGGTAGTAAGAAAGCAGACAACCTAAGACTAGATGGCAGGAATTATACCACAAACTCCTTTTTGTTAATATTACTTTCAATTTGCGAAATGCAGCGCTTCTGCTTTGGAAAAGTAGACAAAGTCTGTCCGGGGTGGGCAATTCGGACTGCGAGCATCGTTGCGAATGTCATGCATGTCGTCAACCCATGAAGAGCGAGCGCCAGGCACAATCGCTTCTCGCATTCCAACAACCTGCCGGAGGAAACGCTCCTGGAGCCATTAGCCCGCCCACATGCCCCTCCTCAACCACCTACCTCACCTCAAGCACTGCTGCGGCAGTGTACCCGAATGCAGCGCGACCACATACCTATCCAAGAAGCATGCCAACTATTAGCTTGTTCAATCGCTTCCGAAGCAAACGCCATTAGCTCCAAGTTACGCTTTCACACCTACGAGTGTGCGATTGTGGTCGACTCGATGCTCAGAATTAGTGCTCGCCTGACAGGAGTTACTGATCCAAGTTCATTCGCTGTATCCGTATATACCTCAAAATAGACATGACTGACACCATTTGCAGTGTCAACTCCACTCTTGTCCATCAAGCCAATCGCCCTTCTGCTGGTTCGTCGCATGCAATGCAGCGCTGCAGACAGACATCAGGAAACCGCCAGCCTCATGTTGGACGTGGGATCGACACCACGATACACCTCAATGGACGAGACCACCGATTTATCCACGTTGTCACTCCCACGTTGCTATTGTGCTGCCAGCCTTTGGCATGTGCCAGCGAGTCTGGGGAAGACGCCTAGACCACTGGCCCGAACCGGCGCGCCTCCTGCGAACTACCGGCCGAATCCAATATCAGAATCAACTCTATTATGCTATTTCCACGTCAAAGGACAGCAGTCCGATCTTTCGATGCCTGGTGTCCTATAGATCGCGGGCCACCGGCAAATGCCTGATTTGCAGTGCGCCCTCAATTCTCCAAAATGTACGAAATCGCAGTCCAAGTTCCGCGTCTCTGCTGCGTTACACAAGAAGATACACGAGGAATAAAACTGTCGAGCATCGGTGCCTTATTCGCTATCCAAGAACACATTTGTCATGCCAAATCGACGATATACTTCGGTATCCACTATTGGTCTCTGCGTGCCTGTCAATATCGCGAGTGCGGGCACAGGTACAAAGGCTGATGAGTGACATCTCTACAAGTCGCTACCTCGAAAGCTTCGTCACCTCTCTTCTGCATTATCACTCACGTCAGCAATAGCGTTTGATTCATCTTGAAGAAACCTGACAGATTTTACGAGTCTTTACATGAACGAGTCCGGAGTGCGTCATTGTTCGCGGTGCGTTTGATAGACCCCTGCATGACTCGACAAAATCAACCACCAGGCGGTTGATAAACTCGGTGGATTAAACGATCACAGCCGGTGCAAACTTGACGGTGCATCAGGATGTTGCGCCGGGCATCGATGCATCTCGACAATGACGTCACTGCGACGAACTGACTCGAAAGTCGTCCATCTCCAATTCAAGGGAACCATCACGAACCACCGGGCGGACGGGGGTTCAGCAGAAACCTGGTCCAGCTACTGCGGGGACGCTGTCGTCATAATGTTGACTCGAATACCAAAAAAGGAGGGGTGTTGGCGGGTCGCAGCGCTTGAAGTGAAGCGCCGCTTTCTGAAACGGAATCCCGCGATATCATCATCCACAAACGGTCCGGATGTCAATTCTGCAAAATTACACGCGTGATGGCCCGCGGGGGGAGCAACGATCAAGACCAGGCAATTGCCGATGTATGTGTAAGAGGCGTCCGATTTACAGCAGTGCGCTGCAGGAAGTGGACATGATTCACGTCGGCGGTGTGCCCAAGGCCTCGAATCCACACTTGACGGCGCATGCTGTTGGTTCGTTCGCCGCGACCAGGCCGGAGCACGCGGAGCTATTCCCGTGTTTGATATACTACATACATACGACAATGCCACAGCTGATATCGAGCGACAAACGGTGGGGACCGGGTTGCAGCAGATGCGACGAAAAGTGTCAATCAACTGGACCCTTAATCACGAATGGGACGGGAAGGCAGTATCCTCGGGGCGACCCAGTGCTAGGTAGGGTGCCAGGGCCCTTGCAAGTAAGCCTCATTCTGCGTTTTGCCCTGCTGCTCCAGCTATCCCTTGCTGCCCCAGATGGCGATCAGGCACTGGCAAGGACTTGTCGAAGAAACAAAGGACAGGAATAACTCCGGCACTGCGGTAAAAAAAAAATGGAGGCCCCTTTCCAGACTTCGTACAGAAAGGCAGGCAACTGGACAGAAAAGGTATCTGATCGGCCCAACGGGCGTCAAATGCTCCATCGGCCGCGTCTATTTCTTGTTGAATGTATCAGTACGAACAAGGCACGAATACCGTACTGCATAGGATTGCGCCGGCATGTGAATTGTTACGAGGAAAAAAAGGTTCATGCGGAAGAAACGAGAACCCATAAAAGGCAAAAAAGTCAAAACGGAAATGACGGGATGAAAGCAACGGGGAAACTAGACACTGACGTCACTAGACATGCGGTTCCTTGAAGAGGGTTCCCAGGTCTCAAGCCAATTCGCGACAAGTCGCAATCCCCAGTATCCACGGGAGAAGAGCTCGGGCAAGCGCGTGGTACGTGAGGCTGACAGGGTCGAGTCCCCTTGTTGCTGAGTTGCAAAGCCAAGTGGTACGAAACCATGTTTTCACTGCCACTGCCCCGTCTCAACCGTCCATCGAAGGGTCATCTTACCAGGAACCATGGACCACGGACTTCAAGGCAAATCAAGGGTCGCAACCTATCCGTACATCTAACTTTCCCCCCCTTGGAGGACGCAGCATGGGTGTGCGATGGTCTCTCAGCCAGTCACGCCGTTGCGCCTGGCGGTTCAACGTCAAGACGTTCCGGGTTGAATGCGCTTGCGGTCTTGGGAGCGGTTGTCCGCAAGTCACAAAGACCAGGTAGGGCAGTTTTACCCCTCCACGCGAAGGACCCTGAAGTTCCAGTTTTCAAGGGTCCAGTCCAGAACCCCCCACTTGTCACCACGCACCAACGGACCCCAATCCGCGGCCAATATCCAATTGATGAGTTGCAAATTTCTTCCCCTTCCCTTTCGAGGTCAAGGTCGACGACGACTTGCGTCTGTGTTTAATTTCCATCTTGTTGCCCCCTTTTAAAAAACGGCATACTTGGACGGACCGGCCATCAACCAAAAATAGGGTCTCCGTCTTACTGGGACCAAGCTAAACAAACCGGGCTAGTCACCTCCGGCTACAACTGTCAAGACAGGCAGCAAACGCCAATCGAGGAGAATCAGAGAGAAGAGCAGCACAGGATCAAGCACGACTAAAACCAGAGAGGCATCAGGGCGCGCCATCACCCGCCAGACCAACACCATCGCCTCACCTTCATTTCCGTCTGATTGACGAATAAGGACGCCTTCCTTCCTTCCAGTCCTGCCATCTCATTCTCGCCTCTTTTCCTTCATCGGACCTTTCCCCCCCTTCAAATCTACTTACTCTCGTTTCCCCCATTTTTCAAATCCGTTTTCCCCGGGCTCTTTCTTTACGCTGTAATTCAACGACTTCCAACGGATACAGCCCGGGCAGGGTTGCCATAAAGTGGTCTGACCAGTTGTGGGCTTGCCCCGTTCTCTTTGCCCAAAAAAAAAACCCCTCTCAGTCGAAAAAAACAAAACAATTAAAAAAAAAAAAAAAGACCTCGAGACACAACCGCGCGCAGCCGTGTGCCGGGCTTTTTCCTCCTAGGGTTCAGGTTCATCTCACCGTTCCGTTCCCGAGACGGTGTTCCATTAAGGTACCACAACACGTCCGCTCGACTTGGACCTTGAGCCCAGCAATACCAGGATCGTTATTCTCCTCACTGACGTCAGTGTCACTTGCATCCAATTTCGATCTCGATTCCTGGGCGGCATCTCCCTTCTTTTGCCTTGTTTCCCTTCTTTTTATCAGCAGCCCTGCCTGCACCTTGTTGGATGCTAGCCCCGAACAGTGCTGCCCAAGCGCTTTGCTACTAGCTTCCTTTTCTTCACCATGTCGACAGCAAGCACCACTACCACGGGCAATGAGTCGCCCTTGGAGGATGAAAACACTCGACGCTCAGAAGGTCTACTCGAGCATCGCCGACGTCTCACAGAGACTTTGGTCGACAACCCATACGACTTGATCACTTACCTCGAACGTGCCGTTGTCCACTCTGAATTGGGCTACCCCGACTTGGCCGCCGGCGATGCCTATAAAGCTCTTCTTTTGACCGACGACGTCCTCCACGAGGGCTCTGAGTATCACGAGCAAGCTATCGAGGCTCTTGGATCCCGCCCTCTGGACCCACTACCTATTGTCCTGGACCATGGCATTCTGTCGAAGCTCGGAAGCGACTATCTGACAGACGAGGCCAGAGACCAAGCAAGCCTCGTCGCTCATGTAGCCAAACTATCCTCTGTTCGCGCCTTTCAGATTCTTGCCCTCAGTCTTCTGTTGTGCGGATGCCTGAAAAGCGCGCACGAGTTTTGCGACCGAGGTCTGCTGATCGCTCCCGAGAACGACGAACTCCTTCAAACGATGGGATACATCAAGCATGTGGCGAGTCGGAGATGTCGCAGAGACGACTTCAACGTCAACGTTCTTCCGGAATGGGGGCTTGTTCGGAGGGAAGTCTACCCCTGGAACACATACGAGCCTGACCGTTTTGCTCCCGAGTCCCTCGAATTTCTGAACGCCGAACTATCAAAGTCTGCACCCAAGTGTGCGGTCCAATTGTCTAAGCTCCCGGTCCTTTTGGAGGCAGCCAGCGATATGGATGACTACGATATCATACCCACTTGCAATCAGCTGGGCCTCTTTGCGACGCAAGACATTGCGCCAGGAGAGGCCGTCTTGGAAGAATATTCGCTTTTGACCGCCAATAATCGCCTCAAGGAACCAGTCTGCGATGCGTGTAGTGCGGAACTGCCACCGTTGGGCAGCGAGCCGGCCGCTGTCAGCTGCGACGAATGTTACGACACAGTTTTCTGTAGCCAACACTGCCACGATATGGCGCAAGAACTTTACCACCCTGCTGTATGCGAGAAGGATGTCGACGCCATCGCCAAGGACCCTGAAGCTTCGGAAGCCGATGAGACACTACACCTGCTTCTTCTTGCGCGTGTCTTGGCCATGTCCAACCACCAAGAAATACATCCCTTGGATGTGACACAGATCAAGTACATCTGGGGTGACTTTGTGCCTTCCGCATCGAACGATATCGAGATCTCACCGAGTGCGAATCCGCCGCCGGAATGGACGCTGCCATTCTCGTTCAAGTACAATATCGAGACACCCTTCCACATCCTCGAAAAGATGGACGTCGACATTTATAGCACTATTCAAGAACACGATTTGTGGGTTCTGAATACCCTCTACAGCAAATTCCGCGGAACGGCATCAGCCCGTAAGAACCCACGCGATGGTCGGCCCGATGTCGCTGCAGTACACCCCCTTTGGTGCTTAGCCAACCACGACTGCGATCCGAACGTCACATGGGATTGGGGAGGACAGATGACACTTTGGGCGCGGAAGACAAAGGTTGTGGGCGGCGCTCCAGGAGGGCTCAAGGCTGGTGAAGAGGTCTTGAACCACTACTGCGACGTAACAATGCCCGTCGATCAACGAAGGGCTTGGGCAAAGGGAAGTCTCGGCGGATGGTGCATGTGCCAAAGATGCCGAGACGAAGCTGCTGCTGCCGAGCCGCAAGCATCCTGAACCTTGCTCATCATCAACCGCAAGATTTGAAGACCTACCAGAGACTTGACAGTCTACACTGCCTACTTTCGACCGGCGATTTTTGAACGTCGGAAAACTTGCGATTAGCGAGCGATTTACGGGGAATTAGAGGAAACATACCATTAGAGATTATATCATTGGAGGGGTCGAAATTCGGGGTCGAGGCAACAGGAAGATCCATTTTTTACGTCCACTAGGTTAGGGATACCTACCTTAGGATATGCTTGTACACGAGCCCCCTGGTCATGGACTTGGGGGAGAGAGGGAGACATACACGACAAAATAATCGCGAAACGTCCTTTTTTATGCATACTACTGTGGACAATTTCTAGTTCACATACACCCTACGGTTTATCGCCTCCGTCTTTCTTCTATCTGCGATACCACCAGGCCTACCCCTCGAGGCCATTCGCATGTTAAAAGCATTCGTCCACAGCGTTCTAGAGAAGCTCGAAAGTATATATATACTGGCATCTGTGAACACTGATGGATCCAGGCCTTGAGCTCTTACGAGTATTTCTGTATACCTTTTGGTTTTAGCACTCAGCCCTGATGGTCTTGGGAGTAGGTGTTGCTACAGCGTGTAAGACAGGCTACAGGCTACAGACAAAGATGCCTATTCAGCCTGTGTCTCAATGGTTTGATTGATATGCGCAGAGCACACAGTGATAAACACAGCGCTACATGTATCATTTGGGTAATGCACGAATGGCGACTTCTTTGGAGAGGCCGAGGCTGAGGTTGCCGAGAGCGATATCCCCAAGATGTCGCACTATCGCAGTCAAGCCAAGTACCCTGAGTCGACTTCCTCTAGGTTAGCCACGCAACTACTCGACGCCAATGTTCTGTTCTCCTTGAAGCGTATCAGGAGCAGGCGGTAAGAAAAAGGTTGAATAGACTTTGAAAAATCGATGTCGTTGGCTTTCATGCTGGGAACCGGCGCTGCAGTTGGGCAGGGCGAGGCGAACGTGCAGGGCAGACGACAGAACGATGCCGCATGCAAGATGACGCCAGGATCGGAATACCGATGACAAGGCAAATGGTTGCCTGGTCTCAGGCATGTAATGTTGGATGTCGCAGCACGACGCAACCCATGGTGATGATCCAATATAAAAGATTATTTTGAGAAATGCGTTCTTTTATTGATGACGTCATTGAACAGTTATCAAGTTGGAAACAAAGGCACCCAAGTCTGCTCCTACAAAGCTGAGGAACTTACTCTGAACAATACCAGGGTTTCCCTCGCAACGGGTTCCGTGTGCCGGAAGGATCGGAACGACATAATTGAGTAGACCACCCCATGGGCCATCTAGGCGGCATACACACCCAGCACCTTGCTAAGCCTTCTGGAGGAAACCCGTCCTCACAAGCCTATTGTTTTTCTCCCCTTCTGCACAGATCCGCCGTTCCAGTCGAGAGACTACTCGTTGCGAATCGCACCGTTTCATTTGAACGGGCACCGCGTGTCGAGGCAGACGCCGATGCTGGGCGTGTAGCCCGCGCAGTTGAGGTCCGCGGCGCAGCCGACGGAAGGGCCGCCGTAGCAGCAGCAGCACTCTGCCTTTGTGGGGGCGCGCTTGTCGAGGGTGGTGGTCTCGGTTCCGCCTGGGGTGGCGGCTGCTGCTGTGACGGCGGCGGCGAGGGCGAGGGCGAAGAGAGATTTGAGTTGCATTTTGATTCTTGGGGGTAATTATGTGGAGAAGGGGAATTGGCTTCTGGTTGGTATTATGGCGACTTTGTCTCCGGAATTGACGTGCTTTTTTGGTACGTTGGTGATGCTTTATGTAGTTTTGGCGTTTGAAGGTATGTGGCATTTCTACTGGGAGGTTCAACATGAGGGAGAGAGAGGATGCTATCTACATTCCTATTATGGAGTCATCCACCGATAGGATTCATTATGTCTCGAGTGATCACTGTCTTAGTTGACGGTATCGCCAAGGGCCCCAGGAGCTGACAAGAAGCGGGGGAGGGGGTTGAGTAAGGCAACGAGTGAAATCATCGGTTCTCAGAAAACCCCTCTGTCTTATACGAAAGACTTACAGCGTTTTCAATCTCTCGTATCTTGAGTAAGCGAGCTGAAGGAGTCTCCGGGCGTAGAAGGATTTGCGGCACAGCAATCTGGTGATCGCGGGGCTTTATAGATACCTTGAAAAGGCCTTATCTGAGCTGACAATCTGGAAGGTGCCAAGAAGGAAGGAATTGAGTCTAATGCGGGTTGGGTTCGGGGTTTGGACACTTGATGGAGAAGGTGGTTGTGTAGACGTCTTGCCTCCTTTTTTTGTGGCGATTTCGTTCACGGTGGAGGATGCGCTTTGTTCAAGCGAGTCTGTATCCTCATGTTATTCGGATCAATTGAGTGCAGGATACGATGGAAAGGACCGTGAATCGCAAGAATACATGGCATGGCGGGAGCATAGTCACTAGGCATTCTGTTCGGGGACCGTTCTTGCCTCAACTTACGTGTAGAAGGACAAAATGCTGCTGCTGCTGCGAAGAAATTCCTCTCAATGCTCAAAAATTAGTAGCTGAATGGGCTCGTGATAACCCGTTTAGTTGGAAATCAGCATCGCGATGTAGACGTGAAGTTGAGAAAACTTGCGTCATGTGACCCGAGCATACAAATTGGAGGATTCAGAGTGGATTTATAGTCCCGATTGAGCAGCGAAACTTATAGGCTTGAAGTCTGAGATTTGGGACGGCCGCGACGGAGGAAATGCCCGCCTCCGCGGACCGCGGGAGAGGGACCTCTCTCTCTCGTGTCTCGGTTTGGGATTGAAGACGGGGCCTCGTCCGCCTCCGCGGCTCAGCAAACTGATTGGCTCAAATCAACACGGAGCCCGCTCCGAACCTCTCTGGAGTCTGGGAGAGGGGATGTTGATCCCAAGGAAGAAGCCGAGTTGACTCAGCTGACTCAGTTGAGAGCCGAGGCGGCGGCAGGCAGCGGAGGGGCAGCCCGCCTCCGCGGGATAGAGAAAGCCAAGGGTCTCGGACTAACTCGAATCTTGGATACGGGAATAGTGAGAAATCGTGGTCTTTGGGTCACTGTACGAGGTCCTGGAGTCGCTGATTGGAACAAGAACGAACAACGTGCTAAGAACGTTTGGTTCAACGTAGACAAACCCCTAACGGAGCTTCATCCGGCTCCGAAATGGTGGCGATTTTGTTGACTTTTTTTTTTGGGCGGCCTGTGTAACGTATTACGCTGGCAGGCAACGCAGGTCCGTCCCACCCTCATTCCGGTTCTTTTCCTCCGCGGTGCGCGCGATGCGTGTTCGGGGTTAGTTACCACGAAGGCTGGCTGGCGGGGCATAGTCCGTCGCCGCCGAAGCAGCTTTCACGTACAATCTGATCATTGTTCGGTGGCTTGAGAACAGAAATGGTAACGACGGAGCGGTGCCCGGCTCCGCGAAGCAATCATATCGACGTTGATGTCTGTTTCTATATAAGGGCGTCTATTGCGCTCGAGATGGTGTGAAATTCGCCTAGCCCAGAGGGCTTGGGTAAGCAGAAGACGGACGGGCTCTGCTGCCACCCCCTTCCTTCACTGCCAGCTGATCCTCTTGTCTGGCTTCCTTATTTCCTTTGCCATACGCAGCCAAGTTTGCTGCTGTGATTTTGAGGCAACTGGTTTTCTGCCAAAGTCGAGAATGCCAATCCTCAGGTTTTGGATGCAGATATCAGTTCCATGAAGACTACAAGCCGGCTTGCTTTGGTATCTTTGATTTCTCTTCGGATCAGCAATAGTGGGCAGCGACCCTGTTTCGAGCGATGTCTTGGATGTTGTCCTACTATCGGACCAGTGATCGGGACCCCGGAAACAGCCGTTGAGTGTAATCAGCGCACACCCATGATAAGATCCCTTGCCTAGAGCTCGTCGTGGATCTCAGGCTTCTCTTCTCCAGTCTCCTTGGTTGCCTCCTTGGTCTCCTCAGTCTCTACCTCGGAACCGTCTCGCCCCTTCACTGGGACCTCCTCCATGACCTGCTCCACAATCTCCTCATCCGCAGTCGGCTCACCCACCTGCCAGGCATCGGCGTTACCTTCAGAGATATCGGCGATGTGCTGCGCGACCGCGTCTACCGTGATCTTGTCCCCTTTGAACGGGAACGCCAAGCCCACAGCCGGGTTATAGACCGCCACGCCCTCGGTGGCATCCGGCGGCAGGCCAAAGAGCGACGGCATATCGGGGTACTCGCCGAGGTCGACCGTCACGAAGGTGATGTACTCGTGGTACTGCTTCGCCATGGGTTTCACAGCCGATGTCCAAGAGTCTAGGTTCTCTTCGACCGTCGAGAAGAAGTAGGTCAACGACTTGCCGGACTGTGAACATCTCATACGTTAGTAGTTTGCCTCTTGGACGTTACATGAAAAACATCTGTAAGACTGCAAAAGGGTTGCCAACTGACGCTTAAATACTTGGCCTCATTTCTCCTCGTCAACCGCGGCACGAGCTGCGACGCGCACTTTTTCAGCATCTTCTCCATCGAGTCGACCTCGTCCAGCTCGGACGTCATGTGGAACGCGCCGTCGGCGTTGTTATAGCACGCGATCCGCCCGGGCGCCTCGTCAATCGTCGTCAGCCCGAAGGCGTAGCGATCGCGGTAGCGCCCGGCCATCTCGGTGAAGCGCTCGCGCAGGCTGGTCTCGGACTCGGCCATGTGCGCAATCAACACCACGTCGTCGTCCTTGTTGAAGGATTTCGCGGCCTTGCTGTCGAGAGGGACCACGGCGGGGCGGAGCATGCGGCGGACGAAGGCGGTGATTCTACAAGAGAGAGAGACGCGGGCGGCTTAGCTGAAGCTCCTTTGTGAGGTGATCAAGGGGGGGCCGATGATGAGGAACATACTCAGAGGCCTTTCTGGGGCCGCGGTAGTGGTGCTTCATGCCGTCTTGGCGGTAGAGGCGGATGGCGGGGTAGGAGGCGACGTCGTGTTCGGAGCAGAGCGAGGCTGAAGTCGAGCAGTCTACTGAAAGAGCGGCCGGGACGGCATCTTCGACGGCGGACCAGTGCTTTTCGAGGGCTGTGCTGGCGTCGCTGTTGTCCGTGTTAACGAATGTTGCTGTAGAGATGCAGAATGTCGTACGTTGAGGGCTTTGTTAAGGTCAGCGCGTTGCTAATATGTGGCGGCGGCATCGAACTCGTGAGAGTATTCGCAAGGGCATGAGCTCAAGGACCAGAGGCTCGGCTTACCTCAATAACTGTACATGGCGTCAGCATGCTGTCGGAGAGAGGTCTCGTGAGACTGGTACAACTTACACGCTACTAGGCTGTGCTCGTTCGCCTTGAGGGCATCGCGGGCTTCGGTTTCGGTCTTGTGCTGCCAACCCAGGCCCGCGCCGGTAAGTGCGAGCAACGGCAAGAGAGTCTTTAGAGACATGGTGAGGAGCTTTGGTGAGAACAAAATGTGCCCTACGCTACCTATGCGATCGGCACCTGTCAAGTGAGTGGTGGTGGGGGTGGAAAAGAAGCTTAAAAGGAGGCAAGATCTGAAGAGAAGGATGAAAGATTGGCGCGAAAAAGAGGACGGCAAGGTCCGGATCGGGGGAGGTAGCTACCCCATGTAAGGTGTTGAATTGGGTTTTTGACTCGCCGTGGCTCTCGTGGCGGGTGCCTCCTGACGGGGGATGGGTGGCCGTCTGATTGGTGCAAGATCGGAGGGTGCGGCCGAGACTCCTGAAACGGCGGGCGGGCAGGGATATTGATGAGCGGCCGTTTGATCGCCGGAGCCAGTGGGGTCGGTGGGGCCGTGGCAGCGGTGACATTCGAGACAAATATTCGCGAGGATCGCAAGATCACACCCTGAAGAAGCAGACATTGATATTGAGCGAATGAGGGCTTACTCGATCTATGAGTTCAGTTCTTAAGTCAAAGGAAACAAGTTAAGTCGCATGAATTACACATGAGTATCCATGCTATCAGCGCCATGTATTTACCAGTGGTACGAGCGTTTCCCTGACTGACTGAAGTGCGCCGAGCTGGAGTATCTCAGCTCTTCGAGATATCAAAGGCACCACATTGTCAGATCTTCATTTTGAAACGAATCTGTTCTCTTCTCGTAGGTACGACAAAGCTATCTAAAGTGCTCTGAAAGATTAGGTGTTGCTTGACGGTATCGATGTCCTGAGGCGAGGGTGATTTCAATTTCACGCAGCTTACGTAGTGGCCCTAGGCCTGTACGCCATTTGGCGCCATCAAGGGGTAAGACTTCCAGCATTCTTTTTGATTAAATCGAAAGGAGACTTTGTGTCAAATCTTTTTTAGAAAACATGCTTTGGCTCGCAGGGCAGAAGAGAATAAAGAGCCAAGGGAGCAAGGGAGTGGGCATCTTGGTACCGTAGTAGTAGTACCACGACGAACACTGCGGTCCCAATGCGGTCAATCAACAGTCAAAGCAAAACGACATCCAGAATTTGGCTCATGTTGTCCAGTCGGTCTACATCTCTATATAACAGGCTTCTACCCTTTCTACATATGGACAGATCTCAGCAGTCGATTGGAATTCCAGCACTACAGCTTCCGTTTCCGTATCGACAGGCCATGATCATCTCGTCATCCAGAATTATCCAAGATGGTCTTTCTACTCAGAATTGCAATCTTTGCCCTGGCAACTGCTCCTTTGATAGCTGCGGCTCCGACTGATGTTCGATCACCTAGTCCGCCACGCTCGTCCCCACCTTTCACCTTCGAGCAATGGGCTGATGATATTATCAATAACCCCACGGCTCAACACATATCTGCTAAAGAGGCAGCAGAAGCTTCAATTAGATCTCGGAACATCATCGGTGTGTTCTTCAACTGCCCATGACTTCGTGTAAATTTGTGGTATGGGACCAAGAAAGGTGCCGAATTATCTGCTAACATCCGACTCTCCGCAACAGGCTGGCAATCTACAACCCCTCACAACACTTCTTGGTCTGAAGAATCCAATGGAAGTCAATCAAATAAGCGCGATAAAGTCTTCCTCAAATCCAAGACTTCTGAAAGTGGCAAGATCATTGATATCAACACCGTTCGATGCAACGGCTTCCCCACAAATATGGCACCGGTATGTCTTGATGTCTATCCACTCTATCTCAGTGGGTCACAAAACAGTTCATCTGGCTGACAGTCTGCATTCTATTTTACTGTACTGCAGATTGAGAACGCCGCCTGGTGCATTCAGTGGCTTGCAAACCAAGATGACAACAAGTGCATTGTTATGGAAAAGGAGGTGACAGGGTTCTGCCGCTCAAATGGTGAAACTTTCATTCTCGGATGGAGGAAGAACAAGAAATCTCTGCACCAGTCAACTTGGTAAGCGCTCGCTCTCGTCCTCAACTTAGGCCTCCTCGCTCCTCAAAGCTACTTTGACTGACAAGATACTCCCGAACCATAGCCAGGAAATCGCAAGAACTGCGGGAAGGATCATGGATTACTGCACAAGTAGCGGATTCGTACAAGGAGAAACAACTGCGTGGAATGATACGGCTACTGGAGTTATGATTCGGACGTTTGAGTCGGGTGCTATTGACAAAAACATCAAGCTTGAGATGTGATTGGCTTTTCGAAACAGCCCTCGACGAGCCTAAAGCGTTTCTTTGTTATTTTTTCCTCTTTCTAGAGACGAAAATTGACCTCCTTTTGCTACCTACCTTTGTAGTTTCGTTCGAGTGAAACCTAAACAAACTGCGAAGACTTAGTAAGGTAGTAACCGTAGGTACTCAACCCAACCATTTACAAAGGACATCGTGACGGATTTTACACCTTAATCGCTGAGTCGCTCCTTGAAACACAGTTGATGGGATGTATTTCTCAATACTTCATGCATTCATGACTGAAAACTTCTACCTATGGGAAACTGAGAATTTGCCCGCCTCATTCGCAAATCGCTAAGAATCTAGACTCAAGACTGACAATTCTCTGGCTGTAGGGTCTGTGAGATTGATAACGAATCATAGAGTGTTTTATCACAAGAAATAAAGTATTTATTAATTGGAAACGTTATGAAATAAAGTTTCAGCTTCATTTTTAATTGTATTCGCCCTCGCCTGTGTGGCGTAGGAGTCTAGTGTAGAGGAGTATGCCAATAGGCAGACCCTCAGTTGTAGTATGCAAAAAGACGAATCGATAAGCATAGACGCACGGGCCCATCACCCCTTTAGCTACTTCTCCGTTTGCCGGGGTCCTCAACGTCCACCCAAACATCAAAAGCAGCATTGCGCCCATGATGAGTTCGCGGCCCTTCACCTGCACAGAGTGCACGCAGACATTTACGAGAAATGTAGGTATCCTTAAACCTCCACTCAATCATGGTGACTAAGACACGTCAAAGGAAAACTTGGAACGACATAAACGCTCAAGTATGTGTCAGCCCCAAAATTTCAAAGTTGCGAAGCTCACACTTGCCAGGACATGGTAGCGATAGCCGCAGGCCGTTCAAATGCGAAAATTGTAAAGCCAGGTTCACCAGAAAGGATGTGTGCAAGAGACACGCCGAAAGATGTAGAGGCACGTTCAGCCGTGTGTTGATGGTCGCTGGTATTCAGAACGGAGCGGAGCAACCGGCACCGGCCTTTGAAGACACTGCTCTTTCACCAGACGACCAGGATGATTCGCCCTTTTCAACTTCTCAGGAAGGCGTTATCGCTGGAGTTGGAGATGACACCATCTACCCAAATAGCCCACCAGAAGCTGCAGAAGTGCCTGACGCGGATGAGCTTCTAGTGACGGAGTAGGTTATCCAAAGATACGGTCTCATTTCACAACTAACTGATTCCTCAGGATTATGACGAGCGGAATAGAAACTTACGTATCAACGTATTTCGAGAATTTCCATCCATCATTCCCACTTGTGCATCGACAAAGCCTAGGGAATGAGTTACCCAAGTTATCGAAGCAGATTATCGTTTCAATTGGCATGCTATATGCTTCTAGGAATGTGTCTGAGGAGGAAACGGCATCTTTGACGCGCAAGAGCCAAACCCTATGGAATAATGGCCATGATGAACTTTGGCGAGTTGTAAGTCTGAACTGCGATATCAAATCAAGCATTGATTGTTTTAGTACTATGCTCACCTATGCTAGGTTGAGGCGGACTGGAGAGAAATCCGCAGGACATGGGTTATGCAAGCATGGCTCCTGCATATAATCTATGGGGCCTTCACTGGCAATGCATCTGACTTCGATAAATCAAAGAAGATGTTACGATGGATTGTAGACGTAAGATGTTCATACTGATAGGTGCTGGCTGATTCCTCATTAACCTGACCTGAACAGGCCGCCCGAGACCTCGGTCTCCTCCGTCAAAACGTTTTCCAGTCAACATCCAGGTTCAGAGACTCGGAAGAACAGACATTACACGATCACTGGATTTCATACGTTGAGTCGGAGTCCATGAAGCTATCCATGTACACTCTGCTGTTTCTCGACTTTCATATTTTCTCCCCTTGCAACATTCGCCCGCTTACCACTCCCACCGAGCTCGATTGGGAGCTGCCCCTTGCTTCATCATTATGGGAAGCGGACACATCGTTAGCATGGGCTCAACGGCTCGGAGACGAACCCCGAACCGTCGGACTGGTCCGGTCTCACGACACGCCTGGCATGACTTGCCCAACAACAAAATCACTAAACCTTGCCATGCAATCATTGATGACGGACACACCGAGTCCGCAACTTTTAGCGGCGCTACGTGCTTCGCCGATGGCAACACTCTTCGTTCTCACCAGTCTCGATTCACTCGTCAGGGATTTTACCCGGTGCTACTATCAACTCCCACCGGCTTTGGCCGACCCAAACGCGTACCACATTCTCACTCAATCTCAAAACCGACAGGTCAGTGCAGCTTTACGATACGTCTCTGAGATCATCACAACGCAAACCGCAGCGGCAGATAGCTCGAACTGGCACATCTTGAACTTTGCTGAGCGTATCGCTCTATCTGTTAAGCTTGCGCTCTGCAAACCCGATGATCTTCTGATTGGTGGTATCGTGGAGAATAGCGTCGTTGCTGGCCTCACCACCGCGACACATCTCACCATGGGACTTCAAGTTGGAGCTCGCAGATCGTTGCAAAACCTCCTCAGATACAACTCCGGCGATGACGGGATGTTGATCTTCCTTGATGACCTGATGGACGTCCTGTCAAGTGTGACAAGCATCGAGAGGCAAGATCCGTTGCGAGAAGCGCCGTGGGCGACGGTGGCTACATACAAGATCCTCCTGGCAATATGGAGATTGCTGCGATGGGCAACAGGAGAGATGCGACGGAAGTCAGGGACCCAGCCGACCGTCCGCACTCGGTTTGAGGCCTCCACCATTGTCTTCAATTCCATCCTTGAAGTCTTGCAGCGACAAGAGGACATCGATGGCCAAACTCGGCGCCTCTCGGTTCGGGAGTCTACCGCATTAGGCATGGCGTCGGAGGCGAGCGAGGTACGCTTCATGGAAACTGTATTGCAGTTCTGGAAGGGGAGACCTGTTTGGGCAATGGGGTCCTTCATGACAACGGTGCTCGAGGAGGTCATCTCGGCTGGTGGTATGGCTTATGAGTAAGGGTGCGCGGACTAGCGCGCGGCGAGTAGGCCGCTGCCCCGGACTGGGGTTGCTGCGGAGCTCCGCCGCAGCCACCACTTATCTCGAACTGTATATCTACACTTTCAAGAGGCACTTGAATTGTCACCTGGAGTAGTCTGTGACATCCCGAATTTTCCGAGTCGTTTCAATCTTCCAAAGCGGCTTACCACCGGCTATATCCTACACCAAGTCAACGTTGATTGTGTCCCCGTCAAACAGACGCCAAGAAAATCATGGCTGCACAGGATAATTTTGGATGGGTATTACTTCCCCTACTATAGTTATTATTCCCTTGTTCACTCACACGTGACTCTAGTTTGGTCTGGGGTCCATGGGAATTGGCATGGCACTGAATCTGCAGAAACACCTCGCATCGAATGGTCTACCGCCTCTTCGGTACAGCAACCGAACGCTTTCGCGAGGTGAATCTCTGCGGGAAGCCGGGGGACTTCCTGAACGAGACTTCGAGACTTTGGTCCTCAAGTCATCCGTCATATTCACAATGGTAGTTTCTAATCGTGCTTGTAATTTCGTGGCATTTCCGCAATTGCTTATTGACCATCACAGATCTCAAACGATGAGGTCCTGGACAGTCTTGTATCGAAGGCTCTCGACACTTGGAGCAGCGCCATACTCGAAGGCAAGATATGGGTTGATACATCAACAGTCCATCCAGATACTGCAGCGAGGTGCTCCGAACGTCTTGCTAAAGTGGGCGCTACATTCGTTGCGTCCCCTGTCTTTGGAGCTAGCCCTATGGCGGCCGCTGGTCAGCTCATCTTTGCCATGGCCGGCCCCCCCACCGCTATCGAAAAGCTGAGGCCATTTGTGGTTAATGTCATGGGAAGAAGCATAATAGATATGGGCGAAGATGTCCGTAAATCAAGCTTGCTCAAGATATCAGGGTGAGCATTGCGTTTTATTATTGGCCATTGTTGGACCAAATCGGTCCGAGATTGTAATTTGCCCACAATACTAATCACATCTTTCTGGAACAGAAACATCTTTGTCATTGGCTTCCAGGAGTTGACCGCCGAAGCGCAAGTCTTTGCCGAGAAAACCGGGCTCGGTACCCGCCAGATGGAACAGTTCATCAGGGACATGTACGGCCCCGTTATCGAGAGCTACTCGAAGCGCATGACAACGGGCGCATACGCGCCACCCTTGGGGACACCCCCTGGCTTCGCAGTGTCCCTGGCGGCCAAGGATGCCGGACACGCGGTGAGGATCGTCGAGGAGCATGGTACAAGAATACCGACTATCGAAACAGCGTTGTCCCGTATGGAGGCCGCTAGGAAGTATGCAGGAGAATCATTGGATAGCTCGTCAATCTATGGTGCAGCTCGGCTCGAAGCCTCATTGCCTTTTTGGAACGAGAATAGCAGACAGTCTAATTAGAATGAATTTGTCTTTGAAGTCAGTCACTTGGACCGTTCTTCAGACGGAAAATTTGTCAAAATAGTGCACGAAGGCAAGAAATCATTCCTGCTGTCATGATTGACGATTCACTGCCCCTTATACCTCTACAAAGTTCAATATTGAACAACCAGATATCACGGATAGCCCAAACCTTTCCCAGTAACACCAGACAGTGTACTGGTATAGGGATTTGCGTCACTCCAAATTACATGACTAGGTGTACATATTCCACAAAGCCAACTAACCATGACCTACTGACCCGGATCCGGGGAGAGGGAACGGGGCTCCGCTGATCCATCCAGCTGGATACTAGCTCCATAGACAACTGTCATGTTATCTAGCGCCATGTGTTAGAGTGTGTGTCAAGGAGCGAGGAAAGACTCGGAGATAACGGCAACGGCACTCAGCCGGGATATGGATGTCTCATCCCGTCGTACCCCAAGATTGCGGAGCTCGCTGCGTCGACCGGGCCAACCTCAAAATGCGGGGGCGGAGCTCCGTTGGCATGCATGAGACGACGGTGGATCCAAGATAGCAGCATGACCGACCTTGATGTGAAAATCCCCTATCTCAGCGATAACCAGCCCAAGCCACGCTCAAGTCGAGCGTAGCTGGGGTTGCTACTACCACAAAGGCCACCCCATGCCAATCGCTCCAAGATCAGCCTCAATGAAGATGAGAAAGAGAGGACTTACTGCTGCTATTGCTCAGCACAGTATACCTATAAACCCCGAGCTTTCCCAACCAGCCCCTTGAGACCTCCTGGCATCTGCTTTTAGCTACTCCCAACCTGATCAGGCCAACCTCGACAAAACTTTTGGCTCTTCGACTTTGAGGTAGACCTCTACTTGGACCTTCCCTCTCTTTCACTCTCACATATCAAGAGGAAGTCCTGTGTCGTGAGGGTCTTCGACCAGCGCATCTCCAGACACCCACTACAGAGACCGTTCATCAGTACCTCACTCGGTCAAAGTTCCCAATAATGTCTTCTGAAATCAACAAGAAGACAGCACAGCCAGACGGTGGCGATGTCATCCGAACCCATACCGACTTCGAGGACGGCAGCATGGAGAAGCTCAAGCATGGCGAAGTTGATCCGGCCCTGGCATTTGCCAATGGAGAGGAAGTCACCTTCACCCCTGAAGAGGAACGAAAAGTCCTATGGAAGATTGACAGAGCCATCTTGCCCCTTCTGATGTGGATTTATGCTCTCCAATTCGCTGACAAGACGTCCCTAAACTATGCCTCGTTGATGGGCATTCGTGAGGATACGGGCCTCAACCCCAAAAGTCAGGAGTACAGCTGGGCTTCTTCCATCTTCTACGCTGGCTACCTCCTCTGGGAGTGAGTTTCATTACCATCTCAGAACTAAAGACTATGTTGCTGATTACTTCAAGGTTCGCTACGACATATCTCCTTCGACGCCTGCCTCTCGGCAAGTACACATCGGCCAACATCATCCTTTGGGGTGTTGTCCTAGTCTGCCACGTCTTCGCTTTCAACTACGCCGGCCTCCTCTCGGTCCGCTTCTTCCTCGGCGCCCTCGAAGCCACCGTGACACCAGCTTTCGTCATCTTGACCTCGGCGTGGTATAAGCAGAACGAGCAGGCAAAGCGCATGGGTTACTGGCTCAGCTGCAATGGTGTTGCCCTGTTGACCCTTGGTCCCATCGCCTACGGCCTTTCTGGTGCCCATAACACAGTCCTGGCAACTTGGAAGGTTCTGTACCTGGTCCTTGGCTTGCCTACCGTCATCACTGGCGTCTATTGTTGGTGGTTCATGCCCGACAACCAAACCAATGCCAAGTTCCTCAACCACCGAGAGAAGACAATTGCCATCGAGCGCATCCGTGGCAATTTCCAGGGTATCGGAAGTCGCAAGTGGAAGTGGGATCAGTTTTACGAGGCTTTCAAGGACCCCCGAACTTACCTCTACGTTCTCTTCTCGCTGCTCATGAACATCCCCAACGGAGGTATCACTGCCTTTGGATCCATCATTATCAACTCTTTTGGCTTCAACTCCCGCCTGTCCCTCCTTCTCAACATGCCCACAGGCGTTGTTGATATTACCTGCAAGCTCCTCTTCACGTACCTCTCGGACAAATTCATGGATCGATCCCTCTTCGCCTTCATCGCCATCCTCATCCCGATGATTGGCGGCATCATGATGATCGTCATCCCCCTCTCAGCTCAAGGTGCCTTGCTCGTCGGCTACTACCTCATCGGAGCCGCGGGCTCATCGTGGTGCCTCGTCATGGTCATGATCTCAAACAACACTCTCGGCTACACGAAGAAGGCCACTGTCAACGGACTCCAGATCCTCGCTTACGGAGCTGGTAACTGGATCGGCCCGCAGACTTTCCGTTCCAACGAAGCGCCCAACTATCACAACGGCAAGCTCATGGTCGCCATCATGTATGGCCTTGCCGCCTGCACCATCGTTGCTATTCGGCTTGTCAACATCTGGGAAAACAAGCGGCGGGATAAGAAGGCGGCGGAGGAGCCGGAGGTCATCGCATCAGGAACTGAGTTTTTGGATTTGACGGATTTCGAGCAGCCTGCCTTCCGATATGTTCTTTAGGAGTGTCAAGTACTCTTGTTTGAGAGCACCATAGAGGGATGCACTGGCTCACTTTTATCATTGAGATACTTGCCGGCTTGAGGTTGTAATGTTCTAGAATATTGAGATTGAAAAGGTAAATGCAGACATGTCTTTTCCATCTCCAGGAATTAGTACAGAATGGACATGCATCACCAGCCGGCCACCCTGTATCCTTATGACACCAGACATTACATCTCTCGTGTATGATTGAGCCAAATAACTGCGTGATACCAACTCAATCCTATCAGCTTTGACTCCGCAAGCTGCCAGTCAGTCTTGATACCGCACATCATAGGGAAGCATGTGATATGGTTCGTTATTAGACTGAGCCTGGAATAATTGCATTACACACTTTTTATCGACTTTTGAAAACAGCAGATACATTCATCAAGCGCTCGATGGGGTCAAAAAACACGTTCTTGGTTGTTTTCCAAACCTTTATATAGGCTCCTTATATGAAGTTTTGTTCAGGGATGTCAGAAAGAGGAGGCTTGGAAAACTTAGGCTTCATTACGACGCCTCGTAAGTCTACGCATATTTGTGTTGAAGCCATCTCGCACTCAACGGGACAAAGAGACCGCCGGTTTGCAAGCAATTGCTCTGGGTCACAATCGCAACAGGAAGAGAATCATCAGAACAATTGCTTGCAAAAGAGTCACTACGAATTGGCTGAATCACTGATCTTTGACCTGCAGGCAACATAATAAACCTGTTGGAAAGGATTGTGCGTTAAATCATTTCAATTACTCAAACACGGTGTTTATATCCACATTCTATTTGTTCATGAGAAACTCCTCAAAATCCTCGTCAGGCAGCGCAGGCTGCTCATCAACGCCGTCAATCAGTCCAAGGTACCAGGTCAAATCTCGGCCATCCTGCTCGCGTTGCGCAAAGCCGTTGCCCCAGTATCCGAACCGATTGCTCGTCGTATACTTGAGATCGTAGTCCTCCCAGCGCGGTGTGGCAATTGTCTCGAAGAACTGGATACGCGAGCCTGGCCACATCATGGGCTCCTTGTCCACAGTGCCGCTCTTGAACCAGGATCGGCATGGTGAGGTCCATGCCGTACGCGGCAGGAACTTGCGCCGGTGCTCGGCAAAGTCGTTGACGGCCTCCTGCTTTGGGCAGAAGGAGGATATCTCTTCCTCTGACATCTTGTGGAGCATTTGCATCACGTATCTCGCCACCGTTTCGGTGATGGGGAGGAAACTTCCGTGGCCGTAGGGGCCGTAGGGACCGTTGAAGACTTTGATGCAGATGTTAGCCCGAGTTCTCGCATTAGACTCAAGAGGAGGGTGGTTGACTGACTGACGTAGTTCGGCATGTTGGCAACTGTCATGGAGAGGTAGGTGTTTGGTGTATCCCGCCAGTACTCGCTGAGACTAACACCATCGCGGCCTATCGTAGGGTAGTGCGGCCTCCAGCTAACGTCGAAGCCCGTAGCGCAGACAATAATGTCGAACTCGTGTTCCACTCCATCTGCAGTCTTCATTCCGTTGGGTGTGATTTCCTGGATACTTGAAGAGACGACGTTCACGTTGTCTTCGCAGAGCGCCTCGAGGTATCCGTTTCCAGGAGTTGGCCTCCTGCAGCCGACGGCGAAGTCTTTCGGGATGATGAGGTCTTGGAGATCCGGCCTGCTGGCGAGCTTGCTGCGCATATCTTCGGCCGCGAACTTATGACTTGTCAATCAAAGATCCGGGGAGATGAAACTGGAATAGAACCTACCGCTTTGGCATCGGCCTGTTCCTTTGAGCCATTGAGAATGAAGCGGAAGCGGGAGTTCAACTCGGACTCAATCTTCTTCCTGTATGCGAGGTATTTCTTGGGGTCTTTTCGAAGGATCTCGTGTTGTTCTTCGCTGTCTGCAGTTACATGCGTCAGAAGATTGCCAAGAGTTCTGGGTTGTGATCTGACGACTTACACTCGAAGTTGCTGCCCTTCTTTCCAGCAAAGCGCTGACCGAAACCGCCGACGACCCAGGAAGAACTTCTGATGAAACAACTCAGACTACCGACGACTTCAGACTTGTTAGATTGATTTCTTGTGGAAATATGGGGTAAGGATTGTTCAAAGACATACTCGGCTGGATACTGGGAACGATTTGAACTGCAGAAGAACCAGAGCCAATCACGCCAACCTTCTTGCCCGTAAGATCGATGCTATTATCCCAGTTGGCACTGTGCATCATCTTGCCTTTGAAAGTTTCTCTGCCCTTGATGGCGGGCCATTTCCACTTGCTGCAGATTCCGCGTTAGCCGTAGACATACAACAATCAGGGAAGAATGCCACGTACTTGAGCACGCCGCTGGCGTTGACAAAGATATCGGCTGAGTCTTCGATCGTGGTGCCGTCTGCCTTTTGGATCTGGATGCTCCACTTCTGTTTCCCCTCGTTCCAGAACGCTCCCGTCACGGTGTGGTTGAGGCGGATGTACTTGTTGAGATCATACTTCTCCGCGATGTCCTTAAAATACTGCAGGATCTCCGGAGCACTCGAGTAGCTTTACCAAAAACAATGTCAGTATCCGCACGCGAACGCCGGAGACGTAAGAAGACGCTCAAACTCACAATTTCGTCCACTCTGGGGACGGCGCCCATGAGAACTGGTAGTTGACAGAGGGGATGTCGCATCCGCAGCCTGGATAGCGGTTCTCATACCAGGTGCCGCCGATGGAAGGGTTCTTTTCGTAGCAGACGAGGTCCAGGTCGAGGGTCTTGCAGGTATCGATTTCATGGGCTAAGTTGAGAGCGCTGGCGCCGCCGCCCAGACATACGATGCGGAGCTTTCTTCCGCTTCGGCTTGGCTTCTCCAAGATCTGGTACTCGGCTTGGGCCGGGGGTGCGGGGAGAGAACCCATGCTTGCGGTGAGTTCGGAGGGTAAAGAACGGGAGACAGGGGGCAGTAAAGTTGGGGTAATAATAAGAGATCTGCGTGCTTTACTTGTGATCAAGTCTGAGTGAGCAGAAGTCGAGTTCCAACGATGTCGGGGAGCTGTCAAGGCCGAGTGATGGGGACTAGACTATGGGTGTCTTGGATCGCCAATGCCTCTGAGCTTGAGTTTCGTGACATTGAATATGGAAATTGCGCTCTTATATGACATCTCCAAGTTTCCACGCGCATACGATAACCCGTTAAGCTCACGCGTATTATCATACCTCCATGTATAGCGGAGCTCCGCTCCTGCATAGCGCCATCCCAAACCATCATCCCCACACCTTGCAATCGCGCTCAGCTTCACTACACCAACCCGCGGCCTTCACTCCGCCGCCGCCGCCTCCGCCTCCGCCTCCGCTGATATCCTTCGTCCCTTAAGCCCCCCCTCTCCTTTCCCCGTCTCAGTCTAAGTTAGTCGCGCTTGTGGTCAGCAGTCGCTTGTTAGTTACGCGGGGTTATCAAAATCTACTCGAATACCAAAGACGGATAAAGATAGCAGGATAAGGGTAGCGTGGTGAACCCGAAGGACCCCTGGCCAAAGATAGTTTAGCTTAAGAAAGTCTGTCAAGGATATCGGGGAAATAGATTGTGGATCACCATCTGCTGCCGAACCAACGTCTCGTTCATCTCGCTGACCCTCGATTCGAGGCAAATGCCAACGAACAACGGAAAAACTTTGTTTTGCTCCATCTGCCGAGATGAGGCGAGGGATGCCCCGCGGGCTGCGGACTTTGGACTCTGTCCGAAAATGCAAGTTCTTGATCCCCAGCACGTTCAATATTCACAAACTCCCTTTGAAAGCAATCATGCAGGGATACCTGAGCTATGGAAAACCAATGTGGTCTGCCAAGATCTTTTAGCCAGATTTGCATTCCGAAACCATAGCCTCGATGAGATGAACTTATCGCCAGCGGAAGACGTCACTTACATCGATCAGTTCACTAACAATGAGTTCATTGGAACAATTTATTCTTTAGTTTCTCGTCACATTCATTAAACCCCTGAAAGCTGGTCTGTTCATCTGGTTATCCCCGCAAGATCGTGCACATTAACGACTCCCTTGAACCGAACCACCAACCAGCCCTTCATCCCTGAACCCGTCTCGTGACGATCTCATCAAATTCCCACAACTCTATCCGTAGAGACTTCAGACAGCGCCCGCCGGCAAGAACGACATGTCAAACTGGAAAGGGCACTTGACAGCGGTACAGATACAGCCGCTACCCTTGGGGATCGCCTTGCAGCGCATGGCGGGCGTCTTGGGGTCACAGCAGCAGCACTGCTCCTGGGTGGCCGGGTCGAGCGGGCACGCGATGAGCGGCACGGCGCAGATGCTCTTCTTGGCGACCTTGCAGACGTAGTTTCCGGCGCCGCGGTCCTCGAGGTCGCAGGAGCAGCAGTTGGCCTTGGGCTCGGGGAACGGGATCGCTTCGCGAGGGGTGATGAGGTCACCGGAGGCGACGCCGGCTGGGGAGGCGTGGACGAGGCTGAGGGTGCCAGCGAGGGCGAAGAGGAGGGTGTTGATGGAGAATTGCATTGTTGGTAGGTTGTTTGATATGAAGCCTTGAGGTGGTTGGTTAGATGTGGGAAGTGTTCTGATATTTGTGGTTTGATAGTTGAGGTATGGGTGTTTGGTGATCTCTGGTAATGATCATCAGTCCTTCGAGGCTCTTCGGTGACTTATATACACTTTCCATTTCGTATAACACCCCCTTGACTGTTCCTCGTGCTTGTGAGAGTCTATCCAGCTATACCGCAACGATGACAACATCGCACCAAATCTCTGACCTCAAGAACCTGATTGGTCACCTAGATGAGCCATATCTACCCTCCCTAGACTTACTTCAATACCCTTCCGTAGTCGAGAAAAAAGTTCCACATCCAAAAAGAGAGACACGACGATGTCAGACTGAGACCCCTTCAAGCCTCAAGCCGGCACCACCCGCGACCGGTGAGGTTTGTTTGACCTGAATTGGGCAGTAGCACGAACCGCTTAGCTTCGTCGCGCGGATCTCAAGCCACCTGCGAGAATTCGCACCAAAACCCCCGGATCTGCGCAGATAATTGCCGATCATTCGGTCGAAGACAAGAGAAGGGAGAAAAAGGTTTTATGGCCGGTTACCTACGGAGTGCGACCTTGTCTGTTAAAATCTTATGACGGGTAGGATGATTTGAGCTTTTTTGAGTTTATTGTTATTTCGGTTCACCAGGGGAATTAGTCCGCCGCTGTTAAGCGAGATTTTTTTGCATATGCAAGACTGGTTGTATGCTGAAAAGTCTGGAATCGTGTGATTATTAGGTAGGCATCGCAGGTTCATCGTCTTGACGTAAAGGATCCAGAACAGGCGAGTCGTTGGCTCGGTGCTCATGGACCCCGGTGTGCTGCTTTGCCATTGCTATGCGGGCTTGTCAGTGCCCTATCCCCCCCGCGAGATCTCGGATCCCGCCGAGAAAAGGGCCGATCACAGGGTTGACAAGCTAACAAAAATGTCTCGATCAATGTGATGTCGGATTCAATGTGGAGAATTCAAGTAGACCGTGAGACACTCGTGTAAGTGTTGAAAAGTGTTGAAGGGAGAAAAGTTTAGGTATGAGCTATACATCACCTCGCCAAGAGTTAAGAGAGAGCGTTTTCGTCCTCGACCTGGCTGTTGTCTGTAAGCCGGAAAGCTTGGCAGGTGCTCACCCGTCAGCTCATGTCTCAGTCGAAGCACTCGACAGACTCGGGCTCGCGTAGGGTCGATACTATCACACGGAGAGACAGCAGTACCGGCAATCCTGGTTCCCTGATGATCTAGGCTATTTGATTCTACCTTGACTCTCTAAGAAAAGCCGGGTACGCTGGTCAATGGGGTCAAAGGCCTTCGTGAAGGCCCACTCCATGAGCCCTGAATCAGACCCTCGCTCTGCTGTACCTAAGCCTTGGAGCTGGAAAAACATTCAAAGGGCTCGCAAAGAAGGCCACGGGGCTCCGGTGACATTCCTCAAAGGGTGAAGGAAGAATTTTAGGGTTGGGTGACTGAGGAAGAAGGCGTCCTGGGCAGACGTGAGAATGACGATCTGCAGCCCGGCCCCCGGCCCCCTGGTGTACAAAGCTCCGGATCCGGTCATCCTGGCAAGACAACTTCATTCTCTATTCTGTATCTGTAGGCCCTTCTCGGCTAGGGACGGGCGACGACGGGATATTCGGAGACCGTCTCTACGGATGCAAAACGGCTCGAATGGCCGTATCGAGGAATCAATTCGCGAAGAGACCGTTGGTGCCGGTTTCTATTCTTAGAATTTGGGCGTGCGGAGAAGAGGGTTTCTTGTGGATGACATGGCTTGCGGGCTTTTGCAAGCAACCTAATCGGCCGGAACTTTTTAAGATGATGGGTAAAGTTTAAAGATTGTAGATCTTTGCGGCCCCGACCATCCCATCCGGGGGAGCGAAAGCGGCAGCGAGGAGGGTCGGGGCCTTGGGGCGGTTCCGGTGGTTTAGGACTCAAGACGGGGGTTGGGTTTTCCGACACATGTTCGGCTGGACGGCCCGCATGGGAAGGGCTGTTCAGTTGAAGACAAGACTTGACTTATACCCCAAAACAGCTTGCCAAACGATCGAGTTCGACCTCGGAATGTTGCTTGTCTACGATATCACAGTTGCCAAGATGGTCAAGTTCAGATGATCAAAATTGTTCAGAGGTAACAATAAGCATTCATTTCGACCCTTTTGCGTTCAAGGCCAAGGAGACTGACTACATAGGCGGCGAAGCAACATGACTTTGTTTTGGTTGGTTTGGTTTTCTTTTCATGATCTCATCATTTCCCCGTTCCGATAATTTCCGTTGTAATAAAAACCGCGCAACCGTTCGTTGATGGGAAGTAGAAAGAACAAGATGTTTCGCACTCATAGCAATAATGCTTTGAACTCGCAAAGCACCCTCCCAAATGTTTAGAACTCGCCCTCTTTCCGTCGACATGTTAAAATGCTTGGTGTGAAAATCAAAAGTGTTGTTTGGTTATTGTTGATGGGAGTATGTCCACTCCAATCCATCTGCGTTTTGAAGACTGCGTTGATTCAAATCCGACTTTCCCCCTTTCAACTTCCACCGACCAGGGTATGTAAACGTAACAAGGAGGCTTCGACAGGCCTTGGGAGGTATTTTGCCAAAAGCGCATTTGATGATAAAAGAAGAGAAAAAAAGTTTTGCAGTAGAATGATATACGAACCAGTTTTTGGTGAAACCGATCACTTTTCCCTCAATTCAAAGGTTGGAGAAAAACTTTTTGAAAAGACACGCTTATAGGACACACACAGCTATTGGTACACGCGCCAAGACGAGGCCTCTCTTCGACACAGACACCAGGGTTGTCTGACTTTCTTCAGTTCGCCATGCGCAAGATGGGGTACAACGGCGCAGCCGGAGCGGGCTTGGCGTCAACCTCCATCGGCTCCGGAGACTTGAGACGGCTAGCCTCAGGAGACTTGGGAACGGGAGCAGCGGCGGCCTTCTCGGCGGGCTCGTCGGAGTACTCTCTGCGGTCGATGCGATCGCGGATGTACTCGCGGAGTGCCTCGATGGTACGCATGTTCTCGAGCCACTGGTCGTACTTCTCCTCGCGCTCGCGGGCGCCCTCGCTAGTGTCCGACTCGGATGAGGGAGAGCCGACGGATGAGGCGACGGACTCGGCCTTGGGAGTGGTGACGCTGGAGGAGTCCTCGTAGATGATGGGGGACTTTGGCGAGGAGGGCGCGGCACGCTGGAGCATACCTCCCGAGTAACGTCTGCGCTCGTTGCTGTCGAAGCTGGGTCCGAGCGTGGAGGCAGTGGACTGGCCAGGGAAGACGGAGCTGACGGCCGGGAGATTGGGGTACATGACTGAAGAAGCTGTGGAGCTGTGTCTCGACTGGGGAGACATGCCGGAGGAAGAGGGGCTGGGCGAGTGACCAGATGTGTATGACATGGTGCTTGAGGGAGGAGTGACGGCGGGGGTTCCAGTCGATGAGACTGCGGTCAACGGCGACGCCATGTGAGCAGCGGACACGGGGTAGCCGTCTTGGGTGACTGGGATGCCGGCGTGAGAGCCTCTGTGAACACCCGGGGGCGAGGGGCTGTGGCGGAGATCGAAAGTGTTCTGGCCGTGGATGTGGATTCCTTGCGTGGCCTGGTGCGAGTTCTCGTAGACAGTGCTCTGCATCTGCTCCAAGATCTGATCAATCTGGACCAGGTCGTTCTTGGTGCGGGCGTTGGGCATGGGCGGCAGGTAGTACTGCTGGGACATGGGTCCGGGGCCGGAAGGAGGTCCGCCGGCCTGTTGGTGGTGAACGTGCTGCTGAGGCGGGGCTGCCATGTAGTCGGAGCCGGGCATGGGACCGGCGTGCAGGCCGAGAGCGCCGTGAAGGGGGAGAAGGGATCGGCCGACTTGTTGATAGGAGGTGGGGTCGACCTGGCGACGCTTGGCGTGGGCGAAGAAGTCGTCAACCATGTCGAAAGCGCGCTTGCTGCGGTTGTCATAGCCGCCGTGGTGGCCAATGTACTCAGTTCGGGGAGGGTTCAAGGGTTGTTGGTTGAAGTACAGTCCATAGTTTGTAGATGGTTGGGGTGCATAGTAGCTAGCATGCCCAGCCTGGTGTGCGAAGGCGGCGGAGTTAGTCCGAATGTGGCCATTATGATCATAGTAGCTAGAAGAAGCTGGAGGCAAATTAGCCTCTAGTTGGAGAAAATAGAGGACAGACTTTGGAGGGGTGTGCAAACTGAGCTCTACATACCTTTGCCAGGCTGCGCCCGATAACCGTTCAGACCTTGGTCCTGGGGCGAGCGGACGAGCACCGAGTCATCGGCGTGGGTCTGTCGATATGTGTGAGCATGATTGAAGATGATGGCGAGAGTAGTTTGTTGGTTGATTTACCTTGACGTGCTTCTTCAAGTCCTGAGGGCGCTTGAATGACTTGCCGCAGAACTCACACTTGTGAGGCTTGAGAGGAACGTGCACGCGAATGTGAGAAGTGATGTGGTCACGCTTCACAGTGGTCGTCCTGCAGGAGTTCCATTGGCAAGTGAGGTTGAGGTTGTTGGTGCTCTTGCGGCCAACATGGCGTTCACAGATGTGCTCCTGTTAATTTTGTTAGTGAGATGTTTCGGGTGAAATAAAGATTTAGTGTGGCATTGCCACCACTTACGTAGAGAGCCTCGGGTGAGACAAACTTCAGGTTGCAGGCGTTCCACTTGCAGATGAGGTTGTCCTCTGCACTGGTGCTGTTGGCGGACTGGGAAGTGTTGCTGGTTGTTGTTGAGGGAGCGGGGGTGCTGCTCTTGGGAGAGTTGCTCGCAGAGCTCTCATTCTCTTGTTTGGCGGACATGGTGGGTGACCGGGGTGTGTGTATGTGTGCGTGAGTGTTGACCGAGCTGGCGGGCTCGGTGAAGAGAGTCCGGAAGATTAGAATGTGCCGGGTCCCGTGAGGCGCGTTGGGATTGGATGGTTGTGTAAGTAGGAGTGGGGTCCTTCTTGATGCTTCAGGTTGTAGATTGCCGAGAACAGGCGAGAGTATACTTGGGA